CGGGCTCTCCGCCCCCTCAGCGGCGGGCAGGTGTGCCGTCAGGGGGGGTCCTCTCTGCCCAGCGCCGGGAGGGAGGGGACTTCTCCCGGCATCGCCCGGATTGGCGCTTCCTCCGCTCTCATCACCCTCCCAGAGCGGCGGAGAAAAGGGTTTGCTCGCCCGCTGCCCTGTCGGCCTGCAAGGGGAGCTCCCCTGAGCGCTGCGGTGGGCTAAAGTGGGTTAAAACGGGGAAGTTCTTAGCACTTCGGTTGCAGCAAGGAAGGAGGTTTTGCTTCCCTCGGTGTACAGCGCGAGCAAGGGGAGAGCGCCCTGCCGAAGCACCATCGTGTAAATAGGTGTGAGAATAATTAGTATTGCTTGCTTGCCAAATAACCTACTTCTGTCATGACTTGCTAGTACGAGAAGGCCAAAGCTGTGTATGTCACTCACTGGGGAGACCAGGATCCCATGCCCATGTCAAGAATAAGTTAATTGGGAGAGGTTTGTGGGTGAAGGGCTAGCTATGTTCCTCTAGGGCCAGAGAGGAGCCAAGAGATGTTGCTTGTCTGAACCCCGCCTGTCCATTTACCCCCCAGCAAGAGGTCCCAGATCCTTTCCCAAATTCCAATTCCATACCTCCTGCCCTTTCTTCTGATAACCTTTTACAAGTGCTGACTGTTGCCTTGCTCATTTGTCAGCATCAGCAGTAATCTCAAAATTTCCAATTTAGTAGGTAACTTCTGTTTGTCAGACGAAAACATTTCTTTAAAACACAGCTCCTTGTTAGATCGCCGATCTGTTGCTTGATTGCTCTTTATGGCAGTTCATTGTCCTCTACCATATTGTACAACAGATAGGTCTGTCATGGAGTTCTTTTTGCTTAAAGAATTTGTGAACTATTTTACTTCCCCCACCTACACCTTAGGTGAAATTTCCAGTCACTTCCCTTCCCCATCCTCAGGGCAGGTGCTCTGGAGAAATGTGAATTTCATTGGAGAGTGTGTAAAACTGCCAGTCTGGTATGAGGAATTCAAAGCCATGAAGAACTTTGTTCATCTTCTAATATGCCAGTCTGGAGAGGTCAAATAACACTCTCTTATCTTGAAAAAATACTGAATTAATTTTAATTTACTAGCAGTTTCTTATCCCTTCAGGTTAGACATTTCTTTGGAGTAGCTTATGTCACCACTGATACATCAGATGCCCTGATAAAGGATGGAGTCTTCTTCAATTACTTGCATGGTAATAATTGTCCTTGTAGAGGTGTGTAGAACTAAGGTGGGTTGCTCTAACCAATTTATAAGAAAAAAAGGGGGAAAAATATGTTACAGCTCCTCAAACGCACGATGTCTGTGCTTCAGGAGACATGAAGCCTTGAGTTGTGCAGTTAAAGACATCGTGCAACTGTTGCTTGTCAGTATTCCCTAGAATACTGATCTAAGCTCCTTAGAGAGCTTAGACTGCTGCAGATGCAAAAGGTTTTCCTGTCATGGAAGGAACGCATCACTGAAATGTAAAAACACTCATTTTTGTATGGGCAACATGATCCTTGCTAACTACTCTGTGGTGATAAATGTAGTCCCATAAGGAATGAATATTTCTCCCCCTTTGTTATACTCTTGACTGGAAGTCATATCTTAAAAGTTGTGTAAACCCACTGTGATAAAGCAGTTTTTTCTCAGCTGGAACAGCAAAATGGTTTGGAATAGTTATCTTGGGCAGCTTTAGTTTGGGGTGGTGTAAGGAATGTGCCATGCAGTATAAAAATCATTGAATAGGATTTTGATGATTGTTGGGTAGTCAGATATTAGGAAGGCGGCTAACAACTCATAATTTGAGGATTAGGATACATGAATTTCTGTATTAACCCATGTGGAAAACATTGCATCAACGTTGAACTATGCTGTTGTTCTAGCCAGTCATAAGATCAAATTCTGTTGTTCCTGTCCTTCTCTGTCCTTGGCTGCTGACGTATCTAACTGAGCGAAGAAAAGCCCTGCATGGATTCAGATTCAGGAACGTTTTTCTATATTTACATGAAAATTACAAAGTCTAATTCTTTTTGTAAATGAAAAATAGATTTTGAAGTTACTGACTGGACTATCAGGAGTTTTGGCTGTGGCATTCTGTTGATCAAAGAGTTTGATTCTAGTGTGTTATTATTTACAGTTTATAAAGTGGAAAATCAAATTTCTCCCACATTCTTTATTACTCTTATAGGTGAAAATGTAAATTATACCCTGTTTACTGTTATCTTATTGCATATGTAAATGGCTGTGCATTCTTTTTAATAACTCCAGGCATTAATCGTACAAGACATGATTCTTAAAATGAAAGATTTGCTTATTTATCTGAAATCGTTTTCTTCGATTGCATCGATTCTTAATCTGCCACCAGGGGGCAATAATTCCATTTTCTAAATCTGGGGGTTTTTTTAACATTAATACAGATGAACAGTGGTTTCATTAAAATTTTTGAGGGACTATATGTGAAATTCAAAAAATAATTTTTTTAGAAATGCCTCACTTGCGTATTTTAATGCCAATTAAATTAATATTTTAATATTTTACTCTGCACTACTTAGGCATGTAGGTTTTACTTTTATTTTGAGCAGCTGAAATTAGACTGCTTTGTAAAAGTTGTTACTGGTGAGCTTCATGCAGCACTGTAATGGTGCAAGGTTTGGATTTCATGCAAAATAGGATTTTTTTGTGGTTTTCATATTGCCGTTGTAATATTTTAAAATTTGTTTTGAATGCCATTACTTTCCTAATCTTCTTTTATTTTTTTGTTCCACTAATGTCCTATTAATATTTGCTAGCCTATGTGTGTAATCCTGAATTTGGGAATTATATCACCTGACAGGTACCTTTATATCCTTATGTGATATGTATTTTTTTTATTTGTGTGCATAGTAGTTCCAACATACTGCGGTTAAAGCCAAGGCTGCCTTCTGTGAAGATCTGTACAATTCTGTATCAAATGCAATCTTCCCTTTAATGATAATCTTGTAACTGGATCTTCCATTAGGTGCATATGTATTGCTGCAAAGATGAGCCAGAGGAAATATCTTCCTGCAAAGATGCAAAAGTACAAGATCATGAAAGACAGAAATAGCTGTAAGTATCTGCTTAAACTACATAGAATGATAGAATAATCCGTGTTTTTGTATAGTAATATGTCTGTCTGTATAAACTTCCTAGCCTCCCTAAGCTCCTACTAAGGTCCTCACCACTGCATTACAATTAGGCATAAAGGTGTGGAACACTACTGTGTAATTTTTTATGCTGTAAAATGTAATGATTTAAATCTGTTTCTGGTAATAGTACAGTCTTTCTTGATGGGCTCAGCTTAACCTGACTCAAAAAATTTGTTCCTGTATATGCAGTGAATAGTCATCCATTAATTTAAGAAGGCAAATCTCTTATCTCTCCACTTTGTTGTATGAGTATGAGGAATATCGAGTCAGTTAATCAGATCTGAACAGCACAGTGCTAAACAGCGTTCTCTTTTGTGATGTCCTGAACTGCACACCTGAAATAAAATTAAAAGTCATGGATGTGGTATCATGTTGGAGATGTAGGTCTTAGGACATGATATAAACTGAAGCCCCTAGTTTTTCTACCTGCAATCCGGAAAAGAAATTATATAGATGGAAAAAGTACCCTTAAGATGGCATTAGGGTTAGGTAAATAGCAAGTGATTGCTGCATATGAACACTGGTGTATTTTAGTGAAAAGGTTCGGTGAATATGGTGTTCTTCGTAAGGTTTTGAAAGTTGGCAGCAAGCCATCTCCCATCTGAAAGAGCCTGAGGGTTTCTAGGCAAAGGTCTTAACAGAGCTTGCTGGAAATTTTCATCCATGCTAAGGAGTTTATAAACAGAAGAAGATTCCTGTTGCAAAAGGGCACTATTATAATTGTTGTTTGTATTTTTTGAGTTGCAGAGGGGGCAGAATTGCCTGATACGTTTCATTTTGTCAGCTTTAAATGTATGGAAAAGTTGAAGTACCTCATCATAAGATGGTTATCTTTATATCTTGAGGTTCAAAGTATCTCTGAAGTTACTTTATTTACCCTAGGTGAAGATTTCCCCATTGCAGTTTTAGTATTATTTAAAATTTATTTTATTATTTAATTTTGTTTCATAATATGAAAAAGTGTTCTGTAGCACCTACTTGAAATTAGAGTAACTTGCTCTTCTGTGTGCACTGAGGCTTATAATCTAGCACATTCACTGATGGCAAGGTTGTCTC